GGACTTCCTCTTGTGTGTTTTCATGAAAGATTACCGACTATACAGGATTCGATTCACCGCGCGTGCGATCAGCGAGTGGTCGCGAGCTGCCGGCGGCCCGTGTCATCTCGAACAAGATTCACGCAGACAAACCATTTGAACACGATAGATTCTCGCACATGTTGATGCAATTCGGACAATTCGTTGACCACGAAATCACGCACACACCAACTGAACGAGGTGATAGTTTCAGCGAGCAAAAATCAGGCAGAAAACTGCAACGATCAAACGGATTGATATGTGCGAAATGGTTGCAGGACCGAATGATGAGATATTGAATTGCACGGAATGTGATTCACGTGAGAGCGTCTCAGTGCACTGCATGCCTCAAGTAATCCCTCCAGGTGATCCGTATTTCCCGATAACACTCCCAGATGGACGACCGCGTTGCCTTCATTTCGCACGCTCGCTTCTCGGACAGTTGACTCTTGGCTATAGGAATCAGTTGAATCAGGTCAGATCAGTCTCGAAGGAACTTTCCTTCTTGTTTATTCCCCTTCTTCCCCATGGAGCCCTTCCCTCTGTCCAGTTTTAGCTCCAGATACGCCCCCTCCATCTGCTTCCTCACCCTGCATTCTTTTCTGTTTATAATCTGAGAGCTGATTTCTTTTGTGAGCAATTGCAGTTAACCGCCTATGTGGATGGTTCAGCTGTGTACGGTTCCACCGAATGTGAAGCATCTGAATTGCGAACGTTTCAAGGTGGATTATTGCGATCTATATCCATCGGATCACATAATACGTAAGTGNATATATTTCAGTGAGGCATTACCTCAAGGTGATCAAGAGCAAGACTGTCGATCGAAACCAATATGGCCATGTTTCGTTGCTGGTGATGAAAGGAACAGCCATCAGCCTGCGTTAACATCACTTCACACTGTATTCTTGAGAAATCATAATCAGTTAGCAGTGCGATTGCATTATTTGAACCCGCATTGGATTGATGAGAAACTTTATCAGGTTAGTTGACTGACGAATATTACGAGGAGAAGGGGACGGAGTAAAGGTAGCGGAGGGGGGATTATTAAGGGAAGGGGGGATCAAGCTGGATTAGCGACTGGCTAATGAAAACATATCAAGAACTTTTGTTCGTTTTTTGGAAATTCAGAATTTGAAAAAAATATTCCAGTATAAAAAATGTGAGTGTTTCAGGAGGCGAGGCGTATTGTCGGCGCACAGATTCAGCATGTGGTCTTCGGAGAATTTCTTCCCAAATTATTGGGATGGGAATATGCCGATAAAGCTGGCCTTTTACCGCAGAGAAGTGGTTATTATAAAGGTTAGCAGCACGCTGTTAACCTGTGAATTGAGCCTGAACTTGAGTAACTTCAGGACAGAGGGCGGGAGAGGGAATGGACGGATAGGTGGACTTTAATTTTAAATTTTGAGATCGTTAAGGATAAAGTTCGAGGATCGAATTGCCATTGGGCATTTTGGAGCACTCTTCAACTCGAATCTATACTTTTCTGGTCCCTATCTCCCGAGAGTCACCTAATGATTACTGCTCTCGATGGAAGGAGGTTATCTAATTGATCCGAAATCCTAAAGTAACGGGTCATTAAACGGTTGGATTTACGTCGAGTTGAGGTCAGTTCCAGACTGTTTCAGGTTACAACCCAAATTGTGATGCGGCCATTTCGCAACCTTTTGCAACCGCAGCGTTCAGGTTCGGTCATACGCTGGTGCGACGTTTCTTCTCACGACTCGACGCCTCGTACGAAAACAGAACCACTCATCCGGTTGACCTCACCGAAAATTTTAATTATGTGCAAGCTGTTTATGATGCGAAACAAGGTTATTTTTATTGTTGTCGATATTTTATTATTATGTTTACTATGTGATATTATTATAATTTTAGGTGGGATTGACAGCCTAATAATAGGATTACTGGGTACCCCAGCGATGGCATTTGACCGTCATATCAGCACGGCGCTCAGGAATCATTTATTTGCACAGAGGGGAGTACCACATTCTGGGATGGATTTGATCGCGCTGAATATTTTGCGGGGACGTGATCACGGATTACAACCTTATAATGAATTCAGGTTGTTTTTACTACTCTTAACAATTTCATTCGCGATTTTTCTTGAAAGTGTATGATAGTCAACTGTAGATTTTAATGATATATTTGTATTGATAACTGGGAAAAGAAGAATAGAACTGAGTGCAGAGATGGCGAAAAAAAAGTGGTGAAGTGATAATGATATTATTGTTATGATAATGAAATCATTATCTTCGACATTATTATTATTTGTAAAAATGAGACGCTGTTGGGAATTGAACGTGCGACTTTTGCTTCAAATTGATGTGATTGTGAAAAGGTCGTGAGATCGATTTCGGGTTGGATCAGAAACTTATGTCAAATTATGTTCAGAAGATTTCGAATGACTTTTGTGGAAATTATTTTACTCACTAATGTTATTTATTTATGTTTTACCACTTTTTTAAGCCACTTTGACCGAATTTTTTAAACCAACCCAAACACTTTTTAAACCACTTTTTACCATTAATATTGTTGTTGTTATTACTCCAAAAAAATTGCAGAGAATATTGTGGACTGCCACGTGCGAAGCATTTTGATG